TTTTGCAGGTTAAAAAGTAGTCTTATAGGCAGGAAAATAAGGTATTTGATACAGTTGTACTTCCTAATAAGGCTGGACAGTTACTACAATTTAAGATATTAACATCTTTAAAATATATAGTCCTGGTATGCAAATATTCAACTCTGTTTTTTTTTGGTTTAAAAGGGTAAGGACATAACTGTATGTTACTTGAACAGGATGGTAATTTAGCCTTGACAGCTCTTGTTTGATGAAAAAAGCATTTTTGGATAGAAACAATTAAGAGCAGAGGTGATGAGAAGAATAGATGCTTAGTCAGTGAGAGCCTAGTAGCATAGTGGTTTGCATATTGGACTACAACCTTGGAGACCAGGGTTTGATTCCCAGCTCAACCAGGAAACACACTGGATGACTTTGGACAAGTCGCCAAGACTGCAATGCGAAGGCAATGGCAAACCTCCTCTGAACAATTCTTGCCAAGAAAACCCCATGATAGGGTAGCCTTAGGGTAGCCATAGGTTGGAAGACTTGAAGGTACATAGCAACATCTCTATGAAGCAACTCCTGCATGCTTCTATTCTGTTCACACACACACACCCCGCTCCCCAACAAAGGGGAGACAAAGCAGTTGTCTTTGCATTTAGAACCAGCCCGAAATAATCTAAAGGCACAGGTCCGTTTTGATCTTGGACGCTAAGCAGGGTCAGCCCCGGGTTGTACTTGGATGGAAGACGACCAATGAATGCCAGGTACTGCAGCTATATTTCAGAGGAACAAACTGGGAAACCAGCTCTGCGGGCTCATCTGCACTACAGAAATTATGCAGTTTGAAAATGCTTTAACTCTCATGGCTCAGTGTTATGGAATCCTGGGATTTTTAGTTTGGCTCTCACAGACCAGACTGAATATCTCACAAAACTACAACTCCCAGAATTCCATAGCATTGAGCCATGGCAGTTGAAGTGGCTAAAACTTTCTATAGTGCAGATTAGACCCAGGTTTTCCTTGTCTAAGAAAGCCATAAGGGTGATATAAGTTGATGAAAGTCATAAGGGTGATATAAGTTGACATGTGACTTGAAGGCACGTACATGTTAGGTATAGAAAGTAGATTTTGTATGCTAAATTACACCCTCTAAAGCTCTTTTTAAAAACTGTTTGTAATAGGCATCAGGAGCATCTTCTCCCCCCCCCCCCCCAATTTTACAGTAATAATAACAGCAGCAACAGTATAAAATCTTTTTAGTCATTTTTAAAAAATGTCCTGCAACAGTCAGGTCCATGGGGTTTTTATTTTAATGTGTTTACAGGTTGCTATTATGTTTGGAATCAGGCTGAAATCAAAGCCAAGCCTAACCTGAACATTTAGGGC